TAAGCACTTGACTGTGTCCTTTTCTCATGGAGTGCTGCGATTTCTGTGTTGTTTCTGTTCTTCCTCGGTTGCTTCTTTTCTCCAAACATGCCTCGTCTTCTCAAATTATCTGTGTGGGCCGCAGCCTCCACACTCTTGCCGTCGAACTTGTACAAAGGAGCCACACCCGGCCGAGCAGCCACGGCCTGCAATCCGGGAAGTGGATACGCAAAATTCACAATTGATTATTGGGCTTTTTATCCCACTGCATGAGATACTATGTTCTGAAGTGTGATGATCAACATCATGCAGGGATGGATGGAATCCAGGTTGATTGCTGGATGTTTTCCATCTGTGACTTTTTTGATGTGTTTTGATGCTCTAGCTCTGGATTCCACCAGCACCCGGGTGCATCCTAAATGTCACCCTGCGATTCGCGGCCTCTCCCTAAACTGCAGATCAGTCTGCCGCAAACTAGATGCCTCAGTGCAAGGAGAGGAACAAAGGAAAACGGGACAGGGCCCCACCGCTGGTTGCAGAAGCGGGAAAACGCCGCTGGAGTTGCACAAAACGGAGTTGCACGAAACGGCGAGAGCAGATTTGCCCATGAGCCAGGTTCAACACAAAAGGCGCACGAAACTCCTTTTCTACGTTTGACGCTGTCAAATCTTTTCTATGTAGGCCATAGGCTGGTTTCCTCGAGGGAACCCTTGGACTGTTTGTTCAAAATGCATGTCAAACGGGTCCCCTCCCAATGGAGCAGTTCGATTGACTACATTCAGATGGGTCAACAGAGTGCCTGGATGAGCCTTCGCCGGTCCGAGCCTGCTTGGCGTCCGCCAACCAGTCCCAGTAGGCCTTTTCCTTCTCCTGCAATCTCCCTAACCCTTCCGCTTGTGGGTCCAGCCAAATGGGGAAGAAACATCACCCCAAAAGGAGCCGCTTTCACTCCATCAGGGGCCATTGTCGCGCGTCGAGATGAAGTCCGTTGGGCGTTCGCTGAGCTGTTCGCGCTACGCTCAAAACGGCCAGAAGGTCTGTTTGATTTCAGCGGGGAACAAAATACCACACCGATTAGTTTTGTTTTAAAAAACCTGAACTGCGTCTCCGAATTGAGGCAAACACAAAACCCTGGCACTAAAGGCCTTGCTTAAACAGCACGCTACGTTTTGGTGATATGCACAACGAAGCTTCAGGTGGATGGATGTGCAATCAGTATTCAGTACCTTCAGTACGTATGTGTTGATGTATCTTATGGCGAGTGCTCGGCGATTTGGGCGACCCAACATCGAAGACCCTGATTGCCGACTGCATTTTCTCCGGTCGGCCATGAAAACGCAAACAATACTAAACCAGCGACGTGGTGGTCCAATCGAACTGAGACCAGTTTTCATTTCACTTGGGAGTCCCAATTCCGATTCAATCGGGTGTTTCTCCAAAAGAGTCTGAAATGGAATGTCATTTACCGGCTCAAGCAAGGAAACCGTATGCCCCAAGCCCGGAGCCATCGCCTTGAAGCCGGCAGCCTTGTTCTCCAGCTCCTGATCCGAAAACGAGCTTCACTCGGACCTCCCAGAGCTCGGAGTGAGAGATGGGAGCGAGAGTAACGAGAGAAAAAGCCTCCTGGTGTCCGGGAAAAGGAGAGGTTCATTCCCTTGCCCTGCGCACCAAGCTGTGCACGGCATCGTGAGAGAGTGAGAGAGAAGGGGGGGCGATTTCAGGCAAAAACTGGCCCAGTTCATGTGACAGACAGGGTCGGTTCCAAAGAGGCTTCGCCCAAAAAAAACGACCCGAGGCAATCTGCCTATTGCCCAATACGGGGCAAGAATCATCTCTCGCATCGGATAGGATCAAAGGCTTACCAGGCTTACCAGGCTTACCACACACCAAAGGTCTGGGAAATCCACAATAATCTGCAGATGCGGCGAAACAGCAGCTATGCATGGGCTTGAAACGCTATCCCTGGGAGAACCGGTCAGACAATTGGCGGATGTAGGAGGGGGGCCTTCGCTCCAAACGACGAGCCAAATGGGCTGAGGATTCTTTGGGAGGCCAACATTTCCTGCCGTGGTCTTGGCTCCTGGTCTTTCCCATATCCTCCACAAAATGGCTGGCTTCTTTTTTGGTTCCCTTCCACATACTACCAAAGACGGCAATAGGAAACGCCTCCCCCCCCCTATTTTGCCAAAGTCTGGCCTTCTCCAGCTGGGCGTTCGCGTCCTGAAAAAGGAGCGAGCCCTTTTTTTGCCACTCACAAAAGCGGTCGGTCGCATCCGAGAAAGATTCTCGGGATGTATGTCTCGGAAGATGAAAAGAGTCATCTTCTACATGCCAATGTAAAAATCGAGACAAAAAAAAAAAGGATCTGCTCTCTCCAATGGTAACTTGGGAAGAAAGCTGAAACCTCCCTTTCTTGTGCGGGGAACACCCGGAATACGAACAAGGATGTCACTGCAATGGGTATGCCCGCTTTTGGCTGCGCTCCTGCTTCCTTTGATTCAGCTCGTCGATCATGTTCCGCCTGTCTGGCAAAATCCGTCGGATGCCTTGCACCCAAAGAACAATCAGCATGAAACCAAAAACAGCCAGGTTGTCAAAATGGCCCTTGCACCCTGGGCGCCGCCTTCTGCCTAAAGGGGCAAAGCGCCACTCACTTTGACACATACCCACCTGTCGATGAGTCGCTGGACCCATGCCGTCGGCTCTGCTCGTTGGCCCGTGTTCGATAGTTGGCCCGTGTTCGATCTGGGCATATCGATCTTGAAGTACAGTTCACGAGCCCTTATCATGAAGTTGCTCCCTGCCATTCGTGATCGGTGAGCTCGTGTTTAACGAAAAAGTAGCAAGAACGAAAAGCCTAGTTGATGCCTCACCCCCAAAGAGCACATGAACTTCGTACTTGAAGAAAACCAAACCAAACCAGCGTCAACGTGTCTGACTTTCGTAAACCAAAGGAAGCCGCAGGGGGCTGGCGGGGATATGAAGTCACACACGGCTATTTCAACCAATCCAAAAGCCTTCGTCGGAAAGGGGTAAAGACCCACTGAACAACAGCCTTGTTGCCTGTTTTCTCAAATTTCCTCGAAAAGCAGCAGGAATCACACCAAAAGCACTACCTGCAATGCTTGGGCTTGGTTTGCTTGCTTTCATTTCGGGGGTCCTGACCATGGCCCTCCGGAGAGGAAGAAAAGCAAGCTTCAAGCGCAATGTCATGAAGGAAGACGCAAGCCTCTGCTGGAGCTTGTCTTGGATTCGCTCCCTCTGCCGCCTCTCCATCTCCTTCAAAGGCGAAAGCGACTGTTTCTGGCGGGACTTGAACTCGATTTGCACAGCTCATTTACTGGCCTACTGAAATGAAGCCAATGCCAAGCCCAAAAGTGAAGCCAACAGAGGCCTGGGATCCGGGAAAGAAAATAAGCAATGTAGTGATCAAAGGCGGAGGCAAAGGAAACAAGCATTGAGCAGACCTTTTTCCTGGAGAAAGAAGGGCCTGGTCGCTTTGGTCATATTTTGAACTCTCTGGTGAACTCTGCACTCGGCTGAGAGAATCTCGAGCGATAGAATCTCGGGCGCGTCCTTCAGCCACATCCTTGGTGCGTTTTACAAAGAGCCGATGCGACAGCAATAAAGTCAGCACAGTGTATGGGGTGTCTTTGTTGTTGGTTCGTGTTGAAGGGAAACCAAAGGAAATCCACATATTACATGCTTCTTTGGGGGAAGACACAACTATATTGTCCTTCCCTTTTGCCGGTTTTTTGAGCGGGGAGTTTTCCAATTCAACCATCTTCGTAGCCTATGGCCGAAGATTGCCTTCTTTGTAGGGAAAAAACACACAACATGTTTAGCCGTCCTCTCCATGCTTGCCAGGAAGGGATCCTTGCTTTAAAATGGCGCCCAAAACATTGAGGACCTTGCCTTTCCTAAACAGATGCATGAGTGAGCATCAAGCCTTGGCATGTTACGGCATGTTGCTGGGAAAACCGGGGTGTCCGTGTCCCACCAAAAACTCCCCGCCTTATGATTGAGGCCAAGACGAATCGAACGCCGGAGAAGAAAGAAAAAGACAGGCATCAAGAAACAGGAGTCATTGGACTTCCCCTTCACAACTTGCATCTTTGGAGGTTCCGGAAAGGAAGTCGAGATAATCCTGAAAAAGAACCCAAAACGGGACATTATGAAGATTCAAGGGGACCTGTTCGACCTTTGGGGGATTTGCTGCGGGGCCCATTGCCAAGTTGCCGGGATCCATGGTCACTCGGTTTGGTCCAGCTCCAAAAGGGGCTGTGTCTCGCAAGAGGGGCCTAAAATCAGCGAGCGTTCCCTTTTTCCCTTTGCCGCTCGGAGCGGCTTTCCCTGAGCTCTGCTTGGCACCCTGCTTCGGAGCCCGGGGGCCAACAAACCAAAAGGTTTGTCTCCTCTCCTTTGGGTGCTCGGAAAAACCGGAATCGGCCCAAAATGAAACTGGAAAATGGAAACGAGAACTAAAACCTGCAGTCCAATTCCTGGATCTCTTCTTTAGTTGTGAGCAGCTGAACCCGTAAATTTGCAAGCCAAGGCGCTGGTATGCAGCATCCGTTTCTTGCAAGGCTCTTTGGCCCTTCTCAACCTAAGGGCGCACTGCGATGCCATGCGTGAATTATGACATTGTATGCCATGTAGGCCTTTGCATGCCATGCAATGCTATAAAATGTTATGTGGGATGAAGTCATGCATGTATCTATCTAATCCAATCGAATCCAAACCAATACAATCCATTCCATTCCCATCAATCTATCCATCTATCTAACCATGTATGCATGCATGTTGTCCGTGGCATCTATGGACGGATGAAATGGACGGACGAACGGATATATGCATGGAGGGTATATGCACGGATGCATGAATGCACACATGCATGGATGCGTAGATGCATGGTTGCGCAGATGCGTCCGTGCATGCATAGATGCGTGAGAGCACAAAGGCGGCAATCATGCATGCCACGCGCGTGCTATGTCATGCTATGCTACGCATCCTTCCGCGCTCGCTCCGGCTCAAGCCGGCTGACTGCATGGGCCCTCCCAATGGGGAAAGGAGAGAGAGGAAAGAGGTGTCTCTAAAGGGAGCACAAAAGGAACACACTTATTTTTCGGGGTCCCTCTCACCGCTCACTTGAGAGCCGGGCTGCAAATGTGCGATACCGTCACGTGTCTATCTAGGCACCCCATGCATCAAAGTGTCGGTGCCATCCAACCATCCATCTAATTACATGCATTCAGGTATGCATGCAAATTGGGTCTCTATAATTGCATGTGTCTGTGTCTATACGCGTCTTGTGCAGATTTGCAATGTGTCTGTGTTCTGCGTGTGTGTGTGCCCTTGAATCTATGGCTCGATGAATGAATGTATGTGTGTGTGTGTGTGTGCGTGTGTCGGCATGCATGAATGTATGTATGCATAAGTGTGTCTATGTAACTGTGTACCTATGTATCTATGTATGTATCTATGGCTCTATAGGTTCATGTATCTATGTGTCTACGCATCTCTGTGGCTATGCATCTATGTATATGTCTCTGCATCTGTGCATCGTTGTATCTACGCATCCGCAAATCTATGTATCTATCATGTCTGACGACTTGCCTCTGTATCTGCCGTGCATGATTTGCATCCGTAGGCAGGACCGTAGAAAGGTTTCAGTTTGCACAGTTTTCAGCCAAACAGTCGAGCTTCGAACCTGGCTGTGGCTCAAACATTGGAACCCCAGATGGCCAAAAATTGCAAAGACTAAAACCTGCGGTTTGCCCAGCGGTTGAAAAGTTTGAGCCACACCCTCACTTGCTCAGAACTTGAACTCACTTTCCTGAGTGGATTCGCAACAAAAATAGTCTCAAACGGTTTGCCAAACCCCAAAAATGGCCGCCAAAGTCCAAGAACGGTGTGCGCCACGCGCCATGCTTTGCGCGCCTTCTCGTTGATCTCCTGGCACCCACGCTTTCGAATGGACATCGCAGCAGTGTGATGTTGCTTGGGACTAGGAAATGGTTGGCTCGTCTCTTTTAGGGGACCCATGGGCTCTTCTTTCAGTTGGACCCGTCAAAATGGATTTTGGTTTGCCTTTCGATTGCACGAAACCAAGCGAAAGGGGGCACCGTCAACAAAAAGGAACCACACCCAAATGGGCAACTGCCCACAGCTGACTTGGCCAAAAGACTCCCCTTGCGCCTCCTGGACATTCCTCTTTCCAGCGTAAGCGTCCTTCGGCAGCTTGAACACCGACTTCACCTCAGGCAACATGAATGCATTTACAACCCGACATACGTGTCTCCAAGTCTGGCCAGAGAACGCTTTGCAAAGCCTCCTGAAGGCAATAGCGCTTGCTCTTCGGGTGGGTGTTTGGTTAGGTCAAGCGTACGAACCAAATTCGTTTTGTTTTAAGCACCCAGCTTAAAGGTGACATGATGTTTAAGCACATCTTTAAATTGGTTGCGTTTCAACCCTGTTGGAGGCGCATCAAGGGCAGACTTTGACCTCGGTGTTCGGTTTTTTTAACCACATCCTCACTGCTCAAATCAGGGCGGCCCCCGTTCCACGGGAAAACGAGCCATTTCAGGGGGCGGACTTAGGAAATTGGGAGATATCAACTTAAAGGCAGGCCGTGGGTTGAAGAAAGTGCCCTGAAACCGAAAGCAGTACACAATTTCCGACTACCTAAAGAGCTGTGCTCAAGAGAGCGTTGGGGAGCCTTTGCTTTGCCTTAAAGCACCATCCAATCTCCGTGTAGAAACACCCATACAAGACAGCTATCAAAGCACTGGTGCCCGACTGGTGGGTCGCGTTCTCGACACGCATGCTCGCAATCCCGAAATTGCCTCATCCTTGAACTTCTTCAAGTTCGCCCAGTACCTCAAGCACCCAGCCCATTTTCGGACAAACATGCAAACAGTGCAACCTTTAGAACTAGCGAATTGGCCCAAGTCAGAAGTCATGGAGCCTTTCCCGTCCGAGCCACTCCAGCTCTGCTTGTTTGTCCTTGTCCCGTGCATCGCCCACTTTGGCCTCGGAACCCCCGAGCCACATTCGAGGGTTTGTCTCATCCAGCTGATTCCACCATACGAACCACAGCACAGTCAAAGAGGGCCATTAGAGAGCGACAAGCCAAACTGTGCACGGTGCATTCGCTGCTACCTGGGAAGCCTGGAGGGTTGGCCACTCGCCTCCGGTCACAAAAAGAACCGTGTGGCAGTGGCTCACTCACTCACCAAAACGAGGCTGGTGCTGCGACGTACTCTTCCGCGTTTTTGAGGCCCGGATACCTGATTTTGCAAACAAAGGCATGTAACCATGTATTGGCTAAGCCTCAAAGCATCCAAGCCAACATCATCCATTCCTCTTGTTCAACAGACAACTTGAACATCGCGCAATTCGAATCTTGCAAGCACAAACAACTCAAGCGAGCTAATGCAGAACATCACTGAACAATGAGCAATCCAAGATTTTGACAATGAATAGATCTAAGCTGCTCGACACTAGAAGTTGACTCCTACG